GGCCCTAGAGGAGATTCCATGTGTTTAGCAAGAACTTGGGTATGATCCGATAAAAGTATTCGCTGATAGCAAGAAAGCAAGTTGAGAAGAAGAACCATTTTATAGGAGTTGATTGTTTAGAAAGTGGGAAGGAGGACATGAGAGAGGTGGGTTTTTTTGATTCTTTTTTAGTAAAAACTCAGCTAATGATGGTAACTCAATTGTAATAACAATGATACTAAAATTGACGATGTTTTGATTGGGATGAGTAATAAATTTTTTGGTATTTTCGTTTTGTTAATTTCCTTTTAGCCCTTTAATGCATGAACAAAGAGAGATAGAGAGGTATGTTAGAGATAGGATGGAAGAGAAGGGAGTAGAGGTGGATAGAAGCATGAAAGGAATGATAAGGAATGAAATAAAAGTGTTGATTAGAGATAGAGAAGTATCTTTAGACATGAATAAGGAAATGATAAATAAGAAAATATTAAGAAAATTAGGAATTTTAAATCCTCTCTTTCTAGACATTCTGAGAGAAGAGAGGATGTTCTTTGATATTGAAATAGAAGTTGAAAATAAAGGAATTGGAAGGAAAGAGTTGGAAGATATAATTAACAATTCTTTAAATAATAAAATGAAGTATTTTTATATAGCTCACAGAGAAAATAAAGAGCATATTTTTATAAAGTTAAAAGAGAGCTCCTTTGTATCTTTGGATGGGTCTTTTCCTAAAAAATTGGATTTCTCCGTTCCTTACCTTTTACTCTCCAAAGGATTTGAGAGAGGTAAAAATGAAACGGGGAATATTAAATTTAATGAGATATTTTTTAAAGAGTGCTATTTAGAAGATGAGCTACAGAAATATAACGAGTTGATAGAGCATTTAAAAGGTTTAAAATTACCTCTCAAGATTTTAGAGGAGGATTTAGTTACAAATTTAGATAGAGGAGCATTGGGAATGGCTCATAAATCCTTTTTGTATTTAGAAGATAGTAAGAAATGGCCTAGGGATATCAAAGCCATAAGATGTGCTAAAACAGCTTTTTATTGCCAACTTTTTCATAAATCTCCCTTTAGGCATTTCATAGATGAAGAGTTCCTGGTTTTAAAGTACAAAAAGCTGCTTTTTGAGTTTAGAATTCTCCTTAAAAGTGAGACATCTAAAGAGTCAGAGGACATCACCCCATATAAAATTATAAATTTTAAAAATCAATGGGATTATGTTCTTTTTAAGGATATATTAAAGGAAATATACCTTTTATATCCATTTTTATATCCGAATATTACCCATTTAAAGAGATTTTTATGCTTCCACGGGTACTATCCCCTACAATTGGATGACAAATTTGTAGAAATACTTTCTGTTATCATAGGAAGGGGGTTTACATCCTTTGGAGGGTTATTTAGGGAATTTTTAAGGTTTGATTTTAATTTTAAGGGACGAGTTTATGATTTAGGGAGTTTTAACTTTATAAAGGGGGAGGAGAGTAATAAGAATAGTTTTATAGTTCTATTTAAAGAGCATAAGGTTGTTATAGATCTTCCAGAAGAGATAATTCTGGAAGATTGAGAAAATTTAATGAAAGGATTATAAATTTAAATTTAAAGGTATTTGATGATACATTTGGTGTAATGACGGACAAATTGTTGATTCCTAGTTTAGTTGAGTTTGATGTGGTGTTTAGTAAGGTGGATAGAGAGGGATTTGTTAAAATTTATGACAAGGAGAGTAGTGGAATGGTATTGGGGAGATTAAATGAAAATTTTGGAGATTTACAGAGATACGGCTACTTCTTCTACTCTCCCATCCTAGGATTGCTGATGGTCAAATCCAAGAATGTATTAGATAAGGAGTTATTGTGTAAGATTATCTTACTTAGGGTATCCTTTCGATATGTTAAGATTAATTAAATTTTATTTCAGATTTTTATAAATCAATGAACCACTAAAGCATTTCTCTAATATTTTGTCTATCTCTAGAACAAACCTAGGACCCATCTCCGCTAAAGATTTATCGCTCTCTAAGACATAGACCCTAACCCAAATCTTGTTGTCAAAATAATGAAAAGAGATAGTTCTATCCACTGGAAGTGATGTGTCATAGGAAAAATAGTGGTAAATACCTCTTTAACTATCTTCAATTCCTTAGAATTATCAAATTCCTTACTAAAAATAAGAAGATGTGTACAATTCTTAAATGCATTAACCGTTGTATTCAAATCTCTCATTGTAGATGCATTGTACATTCTAAATTTTATTGATGGTCCCTCATTGCTACACATCCAAGTAAATACACCTCTTTTTGTTGTTTCTATATATATGGCATGTGTACACTCATTGATGTCCATTAGTTCCTCTATCTCTTTAATGTCTCTTTTCGTGTTGTGCTTGTTCTCCTTCAATGTTGGTTTTATTATCTTTGAAAGATCTTTTAGGAGATTCTTGGATAGAGCTGACGATCCTCTTGAGAGGATTAGCATTGTTCTCATTAGGGGTCTGACCGCTATAGAATTTTATTTTTTGTTATTGTTCCCCCTTCAGTTATAAAATATTTCTGTATTATTACAAATTTTTATTTCACCCTGCGGGCCTGGCTAGCTCAGTAGGTAGAGCACCAGACTCTTAATCTGGGTGTCACGGGTTCGAGTCCCGTGCCGGGTGCTTCTTTTTGTATCCCCCTATAAAAATTAATAATTTTAATGTAAAATGTTTTATTTTAGTTAATCTCCAAAATAGGACCTAGTTAAAAAATCTAGCACCACTGCTATAGAACTCTTTTTGTGAATTGATGATGGTCTCTAACACGTCTTTGAGCTCCTTTCCCGATAAAAATCCTTTCATGGATTCGTGGGTAGAGCTAAAAAGGGTCTTGAAATTCTCTTCCTCTTGCTTAATATTTGGATCATCTCTACTTGCTCCAGCTTGTAGCTTCTTCTCCAAATCATACCTAGCATTTTTCATTTCATTCCTCATGTCGTCTATAACCTTCGTATCATTCACTATCTTCTCTAAACTCACCTTCGCGTTTCTCAGTTTTCCATTTATTTCGTGCTTCTTAGCGCTCATCTCATTCATAGCATCTTCCAATATCTTACACAGCGCAGTTACCTCGGAATTTATCTCTAGCTTCCCTAGCTCACTCGAACACACAGCTAATTGTTGGAAGATATTATTTATAACAAACTTCTTGGAGCTAACAGTGTTATTCATCACTTCTATTGCATCCATCATTGACTTGTATCCTCTACCGCCATGCTCATAAAATATTTGCCAATCTAAATTATCTTTAAACCTCTTTGACACCTCCCTCAACTTCCTGTACTTCTCTTCTTCATCCAAATACTCATCAGGTATACTCACCTCTCTATAATCCATACTAGAGATCTGCCTCAACCAAGACTTCACATTTGCTTTCATTTTATATTTTACGCTTAAGGGGAAGAAGTCTTTTTAAATATTTTATTTTCTATCTCTCCTTTTTTTCTATTGATGGCTTTTGAAAACGACATCAACCCCTTATTTTCCTTCTCTAATAATGGACCATCCTTATTGTTATTACTACCTTTTCTAAGAAAGGATGATCCTAATAGCATTCCCTCCTAAATAAAATCTGAGTCATTCTCTTCACCTAAAAAGTCTGTGTGATAGTAGTTAGAATAAGCCTGTATTTGATTGTGAATCTTTTCTGGTGCCGATGTGTCACTATTTTTAATTTTATTTAACTGTTCCTCTAATTCATTAAACTTGTCCTTTAATTTCTCGGTTTTGCTTATCATTTCTCTTATTGAGGTACTGGTAGATTCTGTCCCATTTTTAGATATCTCCTTCATTTCACTCTTAGATTCACTCTCTTTGTCACTTACTATTTCCTCACTACTCTCCCTCTCTTCTTCTCCTTCCTTATCAATAAAAGATAAATTTACATCTTTTATGGCCTTTTTAATTCTTTGTATCTCCTGTTTAGATGGAAACTCGCTCTCTGATGGAGTAATTTGTGTTATATTTTCTTTTTCCTCCATTCTCCCAAGATCTATATCTGATCCATCAATCACCTCTCTGGTATTATCTATCTCTTCTCTATCACAGAGAGAGTTATCCTGAAATCCGCCCTGTAAGAATTTATAACCCTCCAAGGAATAGTTCCTGGGCTCATTAAAATGTACGGTAGAGTGATGCAGTGATCTATCAATGGGTTTACTATCTCTGATAGACCCACCACTCCTATCAGCTACAGGTCTATCTTTAAGTACTGTGCACCCTTTTTTAATATTTTTTATTTCTTTACCTTTCAATATCTCCCCTCTTAATTTGTTGTTCTCCCCCACTAACCTTTCTACCCTACTAAATAACTCATTATTCATCTCTTTATTGTTTCTATTTACTTCCCTCATCCTTTCTATTTCGATCCTCAACTTCGATACTTCTCGCTCTCTTTCTTTTACATTCTCTGATAGATCTTCATTCTCTCTCTCCTTCTTTTTTAATTCCAATTTTACTTTCTTATTTTCTCTTCTCTTCTTTTTATTCCTCTTCTTTAGTTTCTCTAAAGCACTATCCACCACATCTGAACCCTCCCTTTCTAACTTATTGTTTACTGATCCATCTTCATCTCTCTCCAATGAAATACTCTTAGATCGAATGATCCTCGATAATTGTTGGTTTAAATATTCATTTTGTTTATTAACACTCTGATAGAGTCTTTCATAGTATGAAGCCTTTTCTTTGAGACCTTCCATCTCACTCAACATTCTCTTCTCTTTGGAGATTAAATTGGCTAACTCTGTGTTACACATTGAAAGAGACGTATCCTTTGCTTTTATTCTACCATCTAGTAACTCTATTTGTCTTTCCAAATTTAAGACTTTGATGTTTTCATTTTTCAGTTTGCTCTCCAAATCCTTTTGATTTTCTTTCAATTTCTTAATCTTTTCTTCTTTCTCTAAGAATTGATCCTTTAGCACACAAATCTCTCTCTCTAAGACATAATTCTTCTCCAGTGCTTTATTTCTTAAAGCTTCTATTTCCTTATTTATCGATTTAAAATTCTCGGAATTTCTCCTTTCATATTCGCTCTTCTCTTTATATCCTTGCATTCTACTCCTCTGATCCGAAATGATTCTCTTCAGCTCCTCTCCACTTTGTAACACTTTGTTTATCTCTTCCATCTTTCTGTTCAGTTCCCTCTCCCTCACAGCACTCTCCCTTTCCAACTCCTCAATTCTCGTGTTCAACACTCTTTCACTTTCACATAACTCATCTCTCTCCTGTGATACACTCTTCAATACACTTACCAGCGATTCACATACCATGCTCATTTTAATTTCATTCTTGTCTAATTTTATCTCTACCCCGTTTTCAATTGACTCGTTTATCTTCGCATAGATCCTTTCAAGGTTTTCTAGCATCTTTATCAAATTTATTATATCTACCCTGTATTTTTCACTTATTATCTCCTTACTCGCTTCCTTCCCATTTTCTATCTCCTTAGTCCCATGTTCGTAAGTACTATCCGGCAAAGATAAAAATTTTCTTATCTCCTCACCTATTCTTTCCTTCTCATTCATGCTCTTCTCTTCTTATGAAAATTTATAGAACCTAAAATTAGGGTGTAGGATAACAAAGAATGGTTACATAAAAGACTATTAAATTTTATTTTATCAAAAGCATTGCTAATTCTTCATTTTTCTTTCTCTTTCCTGATATTTTAATATCAAATATTTAAGCTTTTCAAATCTAAGCGAGTTTTTAAGTGTGGGATATTTCAACTTGTGGTCCAAGTCAAAAAGATTGAGAATCTTCTCTGCTCCTTTACTCCAATTAGATTTAGTGAACCCGAGAGACGATCCTATATAAACGGGTGGATATGTTAACTCCTTTCCTATTATCTCATTGATTCTAAAATCTATATCCTGTACATCCTTTAACTCCCCAAGAAAGATTTCACCAAAATGTCTTTTTAGTATAAAATCCCTCTCACCACATACCATCTCCACATTTTCTAGCAAATCCAAATAATCATCGGCTATTTCATTACTTTTAAATTCTAGCTGTTTATTTGATGGATTAGCGAGAGATTTTTTCTTTTTGTTGGCAAGACTGTGTTTTTTGATGGTTTTCTTCATTTCTAAATTTTAGGGTGGTGTCTAAGATGTTATAGAGATTTCAAATGTGATAAATCTATTTCCAAATAAAAAATTGCTATTAGTTCCCCACATTTCCCTTTGCCAATTTCAATTTGGAGATTCTTGTTGAAACGGTAAAAAAGACCCTTTTAAGATGAAGATCGTTGTGTATGAAAAGCCGACCGGTGTGATGAAAATTGTAGAGGAGCATTATGAAAATTCAAGATCCATTTTGAATAGATACACAGTAGACCAACTAAAAAATTGGAAATCTCTAGATTTATACTTTATATTGGGTATTGATTCTTTAAGAAATGCTGAGATATCTCAGAAATTATTGAAGAATCAATACCGAAAGCAGACATTAAAGTACCATCCAGATAAAGGACGCTCGTATAATGAAGCATTTATAGCAATACAAAAAGCATACAAGACACTTAGTAACGAGGTAACAAAAAGGAGATATGATTCTGTCTTTTTTGATGAGAGTATACCAAAGGATAGAATTTACGATGAGATTGAGTTTTTTAGGATTTTTGGTCCTGTATTTAAAAGGAACTCAAAGTTTAGTGTTAAGGGACCGATACCACACTTAGGAGACATGAACAGTACGTTAGAAGAGATAGAGGATTTTTATAAATTCTGGAGATCCTTCGAGTCGTGGAGGTCCTTTGAGTTTTTGGACGAAGAAGATACGGAGGGGTTATCTAGGAGTGATAAGAGGTATGTTGAGAAGAAGAATAAGAACAGGAAGGATAAGTTAAAGAGAGAGGATACTCTTAGGATCAAAGCACTTGTTGAGATGAGTATTAAGAGGGATCCTAGACTTTCAAAATCCAAAAAAAGTGGTTCTAAGCAAGAAGGATCTCTGAAGATGGATCCAAAGCTTCTATCTAACCGATGGAATGAGGAGGATATCCAGAGATTGATAGGACTTATGGATAAGATCAAGGTAACTCATAGGAATAGATGGATTGAGATTTCTAGAAACTTCAATTTGGGGAGGGATGAAAAGAAAGAACCAAAAGAGATATTAATAAAGTGCAATGAGATTGGAAGGATTTACTCAAAGAAATAAAAAATATAAATTAAATGACTTTTTATTTATAAAAGCTTGTGGTGTGGATGAAATGTGCTTCATCTTTCTATCAAAAATCATTGGAGTAACTTTATGGAAGTGCCAAGCTAAAGTAATAAATTGATTTTCATGAAGAGTATAGCTTTTAGCTTTGAAGGAGTGTAAAAGAGCTGTTAATAAGCTAAGTAACCACTTTTATTGATAACATATTACTAGAGATGGGATGGGATCCTCTCTGACTTGAATACAAATAAAAGGTTAAACTCACATCATTCTGTAGCATTTTAAACCAAAATTATCCTTCAAGGCACATTCTCTAAGTTTTTTGAGAGTTGTCTCATCCTTAAAATAAACATCCATAAAAACTCTGTTTTTAAAGGATCTTTGATTAAAAAGTGTCTTTGCTTCTTCGTATCCTAACGGATACTTCAGACAAAGATACCTTAAATTTTGAAGTTTAGTTGTATCAAATATACCTCTTTCATTATAACCCAGGGTTAGTCTCTCTATCATATTATTTAATTCAATCTTTCCTAAAGATAAAAATTCGCTAATATCTGAATATTCATTCTCCCTCATGTCCAGTTCATTTATCTTTAAATTCTTGAGTGATTTTATAAAATCTCTGGAGATAACACATCCCCTGATTGTGAGAGACCTAACATTTCTTAATGAGGGAAGAGTATTGAAATCTATAAAAAAAAACTTGCTACTGGGTCCAAGATGTGGTGTGGAATCTTCTAGATATTTATAGTTACTAATAACCAGCCTTTGCAACTTACCACTTGATACCAAAAAGAGGTTAACTGTGTTATTAAAGATGCAATCTTTGATTTTGAGAATTCTCAAGTTTGGGAGTAGAGATTCGTCCACCATTTCAAGAGACACACTTTCGAATGAACAATCTTCCAATTCTAAGCACTCTAAATTACTTAAAGTTGATATTTCTCTTATAGTACTGTTATTCAAAGTGTGTATTCCACGTAACTTCAATGATTTTAAATTCATTTTTGAGTTCTCAGTGAACTCCAAAGTAAATGGTTCATCTAGGTAGATATTCCGAGATCTGTGAAAATGTATATCCAACTCCTCTAGTCTATTGAATCTAGAAAGACTCAGCCTTCTAAACTCCCACAAATTACAAAGCTTCATTTCCAACTTAATGAGGTATTTTGTAATTCCATAATTGGAAAGAAAGGATTTTAATATCTCTTTATCACAAAATATCAAATTTAATTCCTTTATATCCCTAAACTTACCGATTAGAACATCCAAAGAAATCATTTCACATTTTGATATTTTTGAACCAAAACTAATCCTTTCTAGTCCTCTTTTTAACAAACTATCTCTTTTTAAAAGTAGGTTTAAACCATTCATCCCACCTTTAAATCCATCAAGATGTAATGTACCCAATTTATAATAGGACAACCTCTTTATATCCTCCTCACCTATGGGAAAATCTTTTACTACGAGAGATTCTAAAGACTCTCTAAGAGATCCACCTGGTGGTATTACCTCAATATTAAAATTGTGTAAAAGATTGGGATGACCACACTCAATCTTTAGATATTTAAGGTTGAATTGTGCAAGTTTTTTTAAGGTACTCATTTCCATTTCGATAGAAAGATTGATATTCATCAATTCTAACTTTCTCTTCAAATCTTTAGAAGATAACAACGTTATACTGTCATAGGTGAGTGTGAATTCCAGTCCGCTTATGTTCAACTTATCTATCTCATCCACAAAGTTATTAAAGTTGATGTCATACGAGAAGGATAAAATTACATTCTCTGTACCTGAAAATAAAAAATTAAATATCCTGTGATCTAACAATCTAAAGCCATTCAATACCTTCAATTTTACATCATCAATCTCCAAAAAGATTATACTACCAACTCTCTTTTCGTATGGCTTAATAGATTCTTTATACTCAGAGATAAGAATATTACCAACCCATTTGGAATTGAGGATTACACTTAAACTTCTGAGGAAATCCAAAAGTATCATTCTTAGATTCTGTATATTCAATACAGAATCATTTTCCTCGAAAATACATCCAAAACCACTTTTTAAAATAGAAATCCTGGTCAAATTACAAACCAGATAAGGAAAATCTCCCATATCATCTTTTAAGCACTTGAACATTTTCTTAAGCAAAATACAGTCATCTTCACGGATCTCTTCCAAGATATCCAGTGGTTTATAAATAATACCAAAAAGAATTCTAAATTTCCTGTGTGTAATATCCAGTTCCACAATATCACACTCTCCACCAATACTATTTATAAAACACTCAAAGGGCAGTATCTTCTCCGAATCACATTCAAACAAACCACCATCTGAGAACTTTATCCTAGTACAGCACAACTTTAAGAAATAACAGATCACAAAAAATAACGTCATAAAAGATCATCCTTTCATTTTTATTTATACTTTTAAGATAAATTTACCATTTTTGTAGATTAAAATTATTTACTGATTACATCACACTTAATATTTAAAGCTAATTTAAACACTTAATCTTTAATAAATGGCTAATTCATCAAAAATATTTTATTTATCATTTTCATAGGAAGAGTTTACTTCATTCTCGCTGTATAGACTTTCTTCATCCTCACAACTCTTCTCTAACAATTTTATGGCTTCACTTGCTGGGATATTTGAAATGTCAAAGCTTGAAGAGTTATCATTAGACTCTTCCTTCTCCCCACACGCCTCTTTCTCTTCTTCCTCACTTAAATTTCTTTTAAATTCTTCACTTTTTAAGATCTTAGTGGATTTACTTATAACCTGGAGTGTTAAATCTTGTATCTGATAATAAACCTGCAATGGTGTGAAACCATTCAAAAAAATTTCGTCTTTCTTATTATTCCTGGTTGCTATCTCTTGGTACAGTTCTTTTATCCTTTCTTCTACATCCTTCATTGTGAGGGAAGAGAATCAAAAAGAGAAGAAATAGAAGGAAATTAAAATTGTAGAGTAACAAAGCAATTTATTTGTCATTCTAAAGAAGGTTAAACAGACTTTACTTTGTATCAAGCTCCATTTACTCCATCATATCTAAAAAATTTTTTGACCCTAGAGAAATGTCAAAAATTATAAGGAGACAGAGAATATGTAGACCACATCATAAACCAAGCATGATGGATAAGGTAGGTCCAGTCATTCTCCCAAGAGTTGAAGGAAAGGTTAAGGCTGTGGTACACGATATAATACATGAAAGAGGAAGAGGTGCGCCAATAGCTAAACTTAAAATTGATGGGGATGGAAAGGTTAGAAATGAGCTGATTATAGCGACTGAAGGGCTTTATACCGGCCAGGTGATTGAAATTGGTGATGAGGTACCTCTGACCATTGGGAATTGTATGAAGCTAAGGAATATGCCCGAAGGTTCATCCATTTGTTCTGTGGAGAGGAAGTGTTTTGATGGTGGCAGAATTGCAAGAAGCAGCGGATGTCATGCAACAATTGTTGGGTACAACAGAGATACTAACCTTTGTACCATTAAATTGCCATCTGGCGTTAAAAAGACTGTTAGTGGGGATGCTAGGGCAATGATTGGAATGATATCAGGGAGTGGAAGGGTTGAGAAGCCCCTTCTCAAAGCAGGAAGAGCTTATTTCAAGTACAAGGCTAGAGGTATTCATTGGCCCAAAGTTAGGGGTGTTGCTATGAATCCAGTGGATCATCCACACGGTGGTGGTAATCACCAACACATCGGACATCCATCGACAATTTCCAAGCATGCGCCACCAAATGCTAGGGTTGGGCTTGTTGGTGCAAGGAGAACAGGCCGTAGGAAAGGGTCCAGAAAGATATTCAATAAATGATTTTATATCTTTACCAGTCTATTTAATTGTTTAAATGGGGTATTTCTCGTTTGTTCCATAGCCCCTCCATGGAAAGGCAAGAGGAGGAGGCACATGTCCTCAAGACAAGAATCCAAACGCTCAAGCACTTAGCGCTTGAGATAGGGCAAGAGGCATCATCACATACCAAAAAATTAGATAGATCCGAATCTGCCTTCAATAGATCTATAGATCTCATAAACAAATCGATTTATAAGATCCAATCCCTTAAAAACAAGAAATTTTCCTTTACGTTTTACCTTCTTGGAAGTTCCCTAGTCCTTATACTCCTCCTTTTCTTTCTTTTTCTCAGATGAGGACGATCTAAAAATCCACTTTACAAGCGAGACATTAAAAACTAACATTTTATTTTATTCCTCTTCATTTCTTTCAAGATCTTACTTCTTGTTTCACACATTCTCTGCATTAAAGATATGTCCTTAGAACATATCTGGTCGTAGATAAGTATTAAGAGATCATCTTCATATCTAATAATACAAAGATCCACCTCACTTCTTATTTCTACCATGTCAATATGATTTACTTCCATATTTATAATTGTTAAGGTAAGAAAGGATTCGAAATATTCAAATTCTTCCAAGGAAATAACCCTTTTTAACTCCTTCTTTATAAATTTGATTTTTTTACCTCTGATTCTCCCATACTTTATCGTATTACTACTACTACCATCATTACACGTCTTATCCTCTTCAATAGTACAGTTTTTAATAGAACCAGTCTCCTTTTCTCTCCTATTAATTACATTTTCCTTGTTAGACTCTTCCTCTGCATCACTCCCAAATCCTTCCCTTTCCAGTTTCTCAATCTCTTCATCATTTCCTAAATCCACAGAGCTCAAAGTTTCTAAAACTTTACCAAAATTCTTTTCAATTACAACACACTCCTCAAAACCTTCAAATTCGAAATACTCGTTCTCTCTTTTCCTCTCTTCAGATTCTACTTCCTCTTCCAAGATATAACCACTGAGAAGAACCTTAGGATCCAAAAAGATTTTTTTATGGAAAAGGAAGTTCTTGGAGGTGAAAAGAGAGAAAGAACAGTAAAAGTTTGAAACATCCCTTTCTATTCTGGAAATACAGAAGTACGTGGCATTATTCTCAAAAATACCAAAATCTAGGGCTATAGAGTTGATAAAGATGGAAATACAGTCTATGAACACACTCTTCTCAGCTTCTAATTCCATTATCTCCCACTCATCCACCTCATAAATAAATTTAACACGCTTTGCATCCTTCCTATTAAAAATCACTAAAGAATTCACAGATTTACTTATTATCTCCTTTACCATCTCACTGTATGTTAAAGGAATACTCAAAAATATCTCTTTCATCTCTGATTTGCTTTCTATTCTTTTAGTGTAGTAATTAAATTTGTACGGTTCTATTTCATGTAGTAACATTATCCTTCTAATTGTGATAGTCAGCGGTTCTATTTAACCTTTCTTTTAGTAAGGGTGTGGTACAGCGTAGCTCCCTGTAGCTTTGAATATGAAGTTAAAAGAAGGATTCTTTCACACCCTTTAAAATGAATTTTGACTTTTTATTGTTCCTAGGAGTGATTTTGGGTGATAACTTTGAAGTAGGGAAAGATGAGTTCAAAAAGATAAAAATAGGAGAGAAGTGGATACATTCTAGTGGATTAAAAGAAAAGGAAGTCTTAAAAATATCATTTCCTGGTATTTTTATCTACAAATTAAAAGAGCTAGAGGAGAACGGGTCCTTTGAATTGATAGATTGCACGGTATATTTGGGTGAGAGGGTTACTTCTGAGCTTGTAGTTGATCTTTCTATAGAAAAGAAGGTCTATGGATTGAATACAACCTCCTGGATGATTTGTTTTTTAATTTTTTGCATTTTATTTTTCAATTTTTTGATCTTTTCAACTTTACTTTTTAGAAAGACTCCAAATGAAAGTTTAAAAGAGGAGTGAAAGGATGGTTTTAAGCAAACACTTCGTCTTACCTATCATCTCTCAGTGATATCTGTCCTCCTTTCTAAAAGGAGAAAGAGAGTAGAAATAGGGAGTGGTAATTGATAAAGGAATGGTTGAGCTGATAGAAACCGGAACGGAAGAAAGTAAAGAGACCTTTAGTAAAAATGGAGATAAGGAAGATGTAGATACTTCACCACTATCTAAAAGCAGTGAAAAGAGAATAGAAATAACCAAGAATTTTGTATCTGAGAGCATAACAGACCTCATCTTGGAATTAACAAAGAAAATAAAGAAAAATGAAAGTCCAAAGGTGATAAGAGACCTATTACATGAGAAATTGAATGAGAAGTTCCCATCGGGATGGAACGTATTCGTTGGTGCACATTTCCTGGGGAAGTGTTTTATAGAGGAGAATAAATACATTCAATTTAACATTGATGACTATACAGTTCTTATTTTTAAATCTTACATTCCATTGAATAAATAAAGGTACAGAGTGTTAAAATTCTAACTTCCCTTTTACTCTTTGTCACCCTCAATGAACGATAGGAAAATAAAGCATCTGGTTGAGAACAAGAAGTACAGCTTGGCTATCGAGGAGATAGATAGGAAATTAAATAGATGTAGTAAGAAAGTTAAATATGAGCATACTCCACCGGACACAGAGGAACATTTGTTATCTTTGAAGGGATATCTAAAATTTCTGGGAAATCAAAAAGAGGAATCCTTAAAGGTGCTAAAGGAGGTAATAAGGAAATATCCGAGATATTTTGAACCTTGGAAGTACTTGGGAATGATCTATCTGGAAGACAACAATTTTGAAGATTCCCTAAAATCTTTTAAGCTTTTTATGTTAAATGGTGGTGTTAGTGTCTTTGTAACCTATAGGATTTGTTCACTAGCAATACATTTAGGAAGATATGAAGAATTAAAGAGGTTCATTTCATTTTTCTATTCTTTTAACTCGGAATATAAAAATTTCATTTACCTTCTATTTTCAGAATATCTAAATCTTCATTTTAAAGAATGTCTTGAGATGTATCACGGTACAGCTAAGGAATGTGTATTAGATGATAAAGGTAATATGGAAATCAGCCTTAATTTAGATAGATCTCAAAAGTTTATTTTGAGACAGTCTCTTAAGAAGTTGGGAGAGTATGAAAAGAGTGATGGAAAGGAGGATATCACAAAGCATAGGAATAGAATTATAGAGAAATTAAAATTAAATCCTTGGAATGAATTTTACAGCAAAGAAGCACTGCTGTACCTTAGCTATGAAGAGATAGTAGAAAATAACTTTTTATTAGCTAAGGGAATGGCAAAAGACACCGGCAATGAAAGTGTCTTCGACAATACACAGAATTCCGCCATAAAAAATGGTACCTTTCTTAAAGATAGAAATGAAGAGTTCAAGGACATTTTAAGGTTAATTGAAGAGGAAAGAATTGAGGAAGCCTTGGTGTTGATTGGGGTAATTTTAAATAAAAGTGGGATTGAAGAAACACTGGTGGAGTTAGTGAGGATTGAATGGGTAGAGTTATTTTATTATTTTATTATATATTTTTATAGGAGTGGACACTGTGCTATCTCCTTATATTTCGTAGATTTGGTATTTAAAGTGTATAGAGGGTATTTCAATGGGAGATACAACTCTTTGGCGTACCTTTTAGATGGCTTTGATTTTAAGAGAGTTGATGAGTTGATAGAATTAGAAGTTTATGGAGATGAAATATTTGTAAAGTGCTTAGAAATGGGTAGAGAGATTGTTAAAAGACATGGGAAAATTATAATAACTGATGATAACATTAATACAGTGATAGATTGTGGATGTAAAGATAGAAAGAATGGACATTTTAGGAAATTTATTTTAAAAAGCAATTTTGATGAGCTTTACAAGTTTTTAGAGAGACGAAAATAAATAAACTTATTAGATGGTGTCATTCCTCTTACACTTCGTGTAGAAGGATAAAGCTATTCTATTCCCTTAAAGTTAAATTCTGTTAATTTAATTTAAAAATTTGAAGGGAGGGTTGGAAAGATGAAGTACATAGTGAGAGCAAAGGGAGATTTTCAGAATGTAAAGCATTTATACATCGAACAAAACTATTCTATAGTGATTAGTTGCACCAACTGTGGAGAAAAACACAGCAAGCATGTTTTAGTATCAGATGATAACCTGGTATCCAAGGAATACACGGGAAAGGTTAATCTTATAGTGAAATGTAAGATGTGTGATAGGGAGATGTGTATCAGGATTTCTGATCCAAAAGGATCTAAAAAACACATCCACTGTGGCGATCCTGTGTTGCACACAGGATATGAAGAGATTCAAATGTCTTTAAAAGATGGAGATACCTTTATTGTCTCAGAGTTGGATGTAAGAGGATGTTTTGTCAAGGAGGTGAGTAATGTGACTTGTAACATCATTTCTGAGAGCAATAAACTTTTCAAAGATGTTAGGTTTGTGGAGAATGGATGGGTGGGATCTGACCAGAGGGGAAATGTGACTAGTATTGAGGGGTTTATGGTAGAGCCGTGCTTGATCTCTTGAAGAGAATACAAGAAATGGGGTAGTGGTTTATACGTTTTCATTTATTTAATTCTCCTTTTGCTGCCAGGTGAGCCTTCTCTAAATTTTCATAAAATGATCTTTGCGCCTCTTTAATATTCTCATCCTTACCTTTCCATACTTCCATTGGTGATTCTGTTAAGGCTCTTCCGTAGCTGAAACTCATCTTCCAGGTTCTATTTCCCGTTTCTCTGTTTATTTCGTTGAGAAATTTCATGGAATCTTCCGAAGAGTGTCCACCACTCAAAAAAACAATGCCAGGTACCCCACAAGGAATTGTGTTTAAAAGGGAGAGAAAAGTATAATGAGATACATCGTGGTGTGCTATTGGGGAGTTATTATACCTCCCTTGTGTAACAAAGCTTGGTTTTATTAGAACACCTTGGACATTTACTTTATAAACGTTAAGATACATCATTGTGGCACCTAAAATAGTATTTGATGTTCTGTAACACTCCTCAATTGCATGTTTGCCTTCATAGAGAATTTCTGGTTCCACAATTGGAAGTAACCCATTCTTTTGGCATATACTAGCATATTTAGCTAGTATCATGCAATTTTTTCTTATACACTCCTCACTTGGTGTACTGTCTGTAATGTTGAAGACTGCCCTCCACTTAGCAAACTCAGCTTTGGCAAACCTACCACCTTTAAGTCTCTTTTCCAGGTCTTCAAGGCCAATCGAAACTTTTTCTTGATTATCAAAATTCTCAAGACCTTTGTCAAGCTTAATGCCTGGAGCTATACCCTGGGAGATCAACAAATCAACAAATGGAACGCCCTCAGAATTCTTCTGAAAAAATGTCTCTTCGTGTAATATAACACCACCTACCTTTTCAGACATACCTCTGGTACTGAATAGAAGTTCTCGGAACTTTCTTCTACTCTCCTCAGTGTTTTCTATTCCACACTTCAAAAATTTTCCTTGAATGCTATTTGGACTCTCATCTGCAGCTAATATTCCCTTACCATTTTCTACGATTTTTTTAGCTTTCATACCCAGCTTGTATACTAAATCCTCGTTGCTCTCCATACCACGAATTCTCTCCTACCTCTCCTTTTAAATCCAAATAAAAGAACAAGAACCACCAATAAATTCTGAATCACAAATCGCATAATCCATCACTTTGATAAATCTCACCAACGACAAGATAGACAAGTCACTACAACTAAACTTTAATTAAAGTCAAATTTGAACACATCAAGAGGTTTACAACAGCCTAAGGATAATTCTTGGATCAAACAATTGATCCTAACCAAATCGTTCCTTCTCTCTGATTTGTAGAATGTAATCTTCAATCTCATTAGAGAGTGATCTAAGAGTATCTAAGATGAGAGTTATAACAGGACATGTTTTGATAGCCGTGACTTTAATAAAAACTTTCTCTTCTAACGGATGCTCAACTTTATAGGCACTGAATGTACATCTCTTATCTTCTAGCATTTTCTCAGTTATCATGTTGCCCAATGTGTGTGTCTCACCCAGTAATTCTAGCTCTACTGTATTAGGTGCTCGCTTATCGTATTTTATCTTCAATTTCTTCTCAAGCTCCATTTTTTAGAAGGGAAGAGAGTAGTAACAAAACTCGATAAAAAATTTGAGAGTGGTTTAAAAGAAGTGGTTTAATTAAAAAATTTATCTTCAAGAGAACATAAAGAAAGTATAAAGTTTAATTAGACCCATCTCATCTATCTTATTCTTACCGTCTCAGTCAAAGATAGAAATGAAGTTTGTTCTTCTTACATCATCTTGCTTCTTAGATTCACTCTGTTTGGTATTATTCCACCATCCACTATTCCTACCTTTCTGTGATCCTGATAGATTATCTCTTTTAGTATTATTACTATCTTTTTTTGAGGTGGAAGCAGAAATGACGAGAATTAAAAGGAAGATTGAGAACAAGCTTTTCATTGTAGGGGTGGTGTATTATTCTTGCTTTTAAATGCCACATTCCATAATTTATACCATTTTAGACGAGATATTATACCCCATCGGTGCTTATTCTCTTAATGGTATTTTTTTATATAGAATATTTCTATAAAAATTTTAACGCATAAAGAATATCAAACGTACTACACCTATATGGAACTAAATCTAATAAATTGATTTTTGTAAATAAAGTAAATTTATGAAAAGGAAATAAAGAGTGATTTTTAAAATACGATTTAATGTAAAAATAACTCTTTAGATAGAAAGGTTATCCTATAACTTCACAAATGGAATATTCCTGGAAATTATTGATCTCTTTTTAGGATAATCTTCAAGAGACCTGTTTTTAGAGCTAGTTTCATCATCACTTTCAGATTCCTCATCATGCCTCTCTCTTTTCAGCTCTGATACCTTCCTCCTTCCTGGTGATTCATTCACGGTGTTTTTGTAAAGATATACATCTTTAACATCGGCACTACCACTTTTATTGATTTTTTCAATTCCAAATATATTGGATCCACCCTTTAAATTATCTTGTAATGACTCACCACTCAAATTCATCTTTTTAAAACTACTTTTGTTCAAATTGTCAAAATCATTCTTTATCAATTCTACATCTCTAGAAACCAAAGATGTAGATTTACCACCAGATATTACAAACATAATAAGCATATAAAGAACAATACATAGTACAATAAATACTATTATGTGAATTAGGGTTCTAATCATTTTTAATCTTTCCTAGTCCGTTTCTCTTCTTAATATTCTTTTCAAACATTTTTTGCACCACTTAAATCTCACATTCTCTAACTGTAACAGAATATCTCTAACATTTCCAATCATACCCGGTGCATGAAACATATCAAAACAATTTGAACTAGTGAACATGGTAGAATAGTTTTTAGAGAAAAACTGCCCTATATGAGCTTGTCAAACTCTAATAATTTAACAAATTATTTAATTTTAGGATATCATTTTTTGAGTGTTTTTTACTGATAGATTTTCATTTTTTTGATATGACACATTTCACTACATAACACCACCGTTAATTTCCCAGTTATTCTTATGAATCTACTACCATCTTAAAAACTAGGAATGTGACCAGGAATAGAGTTACACAATTAAGGGTAAATTTTATAAGGAATATGACGTGGATAGTGTGTTCTTGTTATCTCTAAGATTGTCAATAATCCAATATTTTTATTTCTTCAGATCTACATATCATAAAATATCTCTCCATTTATATGGAGATTATGAAGGTAACACAGTCCCTTGTTTGTTCTAGTTGGTATAATTATGCAAAATCTCTTTTTTGGGTAGTCTTAAATTAATTTACTAAAAATATAACAATTGGTTTGATTTAATCATTCATTAATTGAAGTACATAGACCCTTTGGGTACTTCCCAGGTTTTCAAATCAAAATTGTATACTGAAATTGATTTTATTAATATATCTTATCGTAATGATAAGGGTCTTGATCTACTCATGTTTCCTCCCATCCTCCTCGTCTCCTTTTATAGTCTTATTTTGGAGAGAATGATTATCTTATCCATTAATTTTCTTTGGTATTTTCATCCTCCCAAGGGTACTACAAGATATTAGAGGTTTACAATTTATAGGAATAATAAATAAGCCTTTTAGTTAGTAGATGACCTCCTTTTATCAACTAAGTAGCGAGGAACCTTTAATTTCTGGTGGTATTTCGATTTCCATGATGTAAAGAATGGTGGGTGCTATATCTCTGAGTGAATAATCTGTGTTAGCAGACATCTTTCCACGTCCTTTATCTTTCACCTCACTACTACAGATTATAAGTGGTACCTTACCAGTTGTATCTTTTTTGGTAAGATTACCATTTCTATCTATCATATGCCCAGAATTGACATAGAGTGCAGTTATGATCAGGGTATAATCATTGTCTTCACATGCTTTATACAAGACCCCAATAGATTCATCCACTGCTTTAATAGTTTCACAAACCTTCTCTCTACCTTCCATAATATAGCCAACCGAATCCAATGGAGGAAGGCTACAAATAAGCAGTGGTTGATCCTTTTCAATACTTCCTATACAGGCATTTACAATTTTTAAAACATTCATTTTTAGTTTGGAGTCATAAATATATTCTTTACAATCGACAATACAAAATCTTTTCTCCCATAATAACCGTTCCCTAGGTCTACCAGTGAAAAAACAGAGAAAATGCATATATATATCGAAATTAGCAAAATGGACTTGAGTAAGGCCATTCTTAGACAATGCCTCAGCAAGTCCATTTTCAATTTTTACTATCTCAAAAATTGGGATTAATCCTGGACATCCACTATAATCTGTCATTGTAAATATTTCATTTTCATCACTAAAAAACTTACCCATCAATTGTCTCATTCCGTCAGCTCTGAAATTAAAGAATACAAGTGTGTCTCGTGCCCTGACTCGGCCCTCAGATATGAAAATGTGTGGTTTAAAGAACTCGTCAGTGATACCCTTTTCATAGCTAGATTTTATGTGGTCCTCAACATAGAATCTCCCAAACATTCTCTCTCCATTAGATTTCATCGCGTTGTAACTTTCGTCTATCCTTCCTTCTTCGTCTCCATCCATACTGTAATGTCTTCCAGCAATAGATGCAATCTCGCCAAAACCCACCTCACTTATGCACTCTCTCAATGCATCTATATACACTTGACATGACTTAGGCTCTACATCCACACCATCTGCTATACAGTGTATGTATAATTTTTTGCATCTATCTTTACAGCTCACAATCAGTGACTTTAGGTGGTCTATATGGGAATGAACACCACCATCACTTACCAACCCTATCAGATGAATCTTTACTTTGTGTTTCAGCTCAACCCTGTCTAGACACTCACCCATCCTCCCCTCAGCTATAACCTTGTTAATTCTGATTAGACCCTGATCAATCACTCTTCCAGCCCCTATTGTAGTATAACCTGATTCTGCATTTCCCATCTGACCCGGAGGAAGTCCCACATACTCATCATGTGCATGGATCATAAACTGGGAAAGGTTGTGCTGAGTGTAGTAATCCAGGGATATTGTGTGCTTTCAATGTCATCCTCATCACATACCCCTTCATCATGGTTCCATCCATCAAATATCGCAAGACACACTTTTTTCATTGCATTGTTCTACTTTTTCGCGTTTTTATTCTAATCACAAAACACGTTTTACAAATATACATCTTGATTTAATAATGTGAATCATCGTGTTGCAGACAGAGTCACATAGTCCTTACTAGCAGAAAAGAAAGGCTTGATTCCATATATAGATAGAAAGAATGGTAAAGTGTTGTACATACAGAGATATAGGTAAGATAAAGATAGAAACACAGTGTTTAGCAACTATAGCTTTATTTAATGGGTGATGCTACACTTCATTGCTGTAACACACTATTAACGAATATTCTCTTGGCTTTACCTTTAAATAAATGGATTAACTTGCCAACAACATTAGATCTACATTTTCCAACGTATAGCTCGTCTAACGTCACGTCAAACTCAGATGGATTCATAGTTAACAGATTGTCGTCTGCAGAACAATTTATAAACCACAATTTTCTCAAGTTCCTACAGGATGACAAACCAATGATATCAACCTTTGTTAACTTAGAATGTATGACACTCAGATTGCTCAACCTCTTTGCTAACGTTGTTGGCTCATCTTTAGACCCCAAGAAGAAAGGCAGTGATCTCCCATATATAGGATGGTTTACTTGTAGATTATATAAAGAAGTTAATGGGATGTCTTTTACACAATCTAAGGTTGAAATAGTAGAAAAATCTTCAAAACCAAAACATAGTATTGTCAACTTTAACAAATAATCCAACACATCCTTGTTATCTTTCAAGTCAATTCTTTCAACACTCTCCAAGTTCACAATGACTAACTTTTCGAGCTTTTCTAATTTAGTGATAGCTTTTAGATCTTCCAAAATGAGATAACTATTTGAAGACCATTTATCAAGTTTTATAACAAGAGACCTGAGAGTTTTTGTAATGCTACTACCCTCCTTAACTATCCTTGCCACTGGAAGATCAAATCCATCAATGGTAAGCTCTTCTAATTTTTCAAAGTC